GTCCCCAGCAGACCAGGGGCACCCGGAGCAGCTTTTCTCGCCCCGGAGGTCGAGGTGGCGGGACCGCTGCCTGCGAGCTCCGGGGCGAGAAAGCCCCGTTCATAAGTGCGGATCCGACATAAGTCGGATCCGTGTAACTCGGGGACTGCCTGTACTGAGGGAGCATATGAAAACACAGACAGCCAAACGTTTCATCACTGGCGGAGCAGGAGACCTGTCAGGATGCCACACTAGTCAATTGTGAATTTACTACATCGCTGTCCTTAACTACAACAGTTTAACTAAAATCGCAATGTTTTTATCTGGGTTTCTTAATAATTAAACTATTATTTTTGTTAGGGATGTAAGCAACTAATCAACTAGTTGACTATCTGAAAAGCAAAAGTTTATCAGATAGTCAGCACAAGCCTAGTTGCTTCCCGCCTCTCCCTCTTGCCCCCCGCTGCCTCTATCAGAAGGAGGAATCAAGTGGGGGGGAAAAAGAGAGGATGTTGCGGGGAAGGCAGCTTAAAAGCTGGTTCCTGCTGGGGCTCTTGTGCATTTCAAAGCGGAAGCACCACATAGAGCCTGGGGCTGGCAGAGGACTCGGATATTTCTTCAGCAAATGATGGGCCCTTTGAAAAATTAAATTATCACTAATGCACATTTAGCTATAACATGACAATTAGGGATGTTAAAATTAGATTAATCAACTAATCAAATAGTTTGATTAGTGGCTAAGGGCACCTCCACTATGAAATATAGCAAGAGCCTGCCATTTCAAAGCTGGAAGTGCAGGGGCTCTTGTGCATTTCAAAGCGGAAGCACTGGGGCCTTTGTGTTTCACCTGGAGCAGGAGACTGAGTCCCCCACTGGCCCCGAGGGGCAATAGTGAAATCCATACTATTGAGTAAGCCGTTTCCATTGTCATAGGTACAGACACATAGGGGCTTGGATGCCATCTTGGTTACCAACGATTTTAAACCTGACTCAGATGCATTCATATCTTATCTGAGTCTGTGGTCTTCATAACAGACTCCATGCGGTGCTTCTGCTTTGAAATGGCATCCCTTGGGCTCCATGTTTTAATTTTTTTTAATCTTTGAAGTGCAGGGGCTCTTGTACATTTCAAAGAGGAAGCGCCGCATGGAGCCCGGGGTCAGTGGGGGCTCCCTGCTGGCTCTGGGCTCCACGCAGCACAAGAGCCCCAATACATTTCAAAGAGGAAGCGCCGCCTGGCACTTCTGCCTTTGAAATGTAGCAACAGCTGTGCGGGCTCTTTCAAAGTGGGAACACCCTTATCGACTAATCAAATAGTTGATGGAAATTCTGTGGTATGGCTAAATGTGAATTTGTCATAATTTAATTCTTCAAAGGGCCCATCATTTGCTTCAGAAATATGCGGGGATGCTAAATGCCTATTTAGAAAATATGCCCTTCTCTGTGCTCTATTGCTAAGAAATAAAGCAAACAAATAAACAAAATAAACCTAGCTACTGTTTTTAAAATCTAGCCAAAACAATGTGGTCCTTCTTATGTTTATGCTTATGCACCAGCAGCAACCTTGAATATACCTTGAGGAATATATTAGTCTATTGATTTACTAAGCAGACACCCTATTAATTTCTTTGCAACATTTTCTTTAGAAATCCATGACAGATTAAGGCACACAATATTTAGGGAATAACCAGAGTAATGTCTCACTAGAGCAGAGTGGAGAAAAGTATTTAGTTTCATGAGGGATTTTGTGCCTTTGAAAACTAGTTTCATTCTGATTTGCAACAACCTCCCGCCCCCCCCAAAAAAATTTTTCTTCACAAAAGGGAGTCTTTGACTGAGTCAGTGTGCCTGGTGACTTGCCTTAGGGCTACAGACCCTGAAAGCCCTGAGGTACCTTACCTTCAGTATATTGGAACCCCGTCTGGTTTTTAAGAGAACTTCATCAAAATCAAACTGTCTCTCTGGGACATTTTGATTTCAACAAATCAGCAAATGGATATGGAAAAACATTTTAGTCAATATTTTTCTTATAACCTTTACTTTTCATGTCACTCAGATGATGCTGATACTAGAAGAGTTGGAAAGTACATTTAAAAAGCATGAAATCTTGGAACCAAGATTAAGTGCGGATCCGACATAAGTCGGATCCGTGTAACTCGGGGACTGCCTGTACTGAGGGAGCATATGAAAACACAGACAGCCAAACGTTTCATCACTGGCGGAGCAGGAGACCTGTCAGGATGCCACACTAGTCAATTGTGAATTTACTACATCGCTGTCCTTAACTACAACAGTTTAACTAAAATCGCAATGTTTTTATCTGGGTTTCTTAATAATTAAACTATTATTTTTGTTAGGGATGTAAGCAACTAATCAACTAGTTGACTATCTGAAAAGCAAAAGTTTATCAGATAGTCAGCACAAGCCTAGTTGCTTCCCGCCTCTCCCTCTTGCCCCCCGCTGCCTCTATCAGAAGGAGGAATCAAGTGGGGGGAAAAAGAGAGGATGTTGCGGGGAAGGCAGCTTAAAAGCTGGTTCCTGCTGGGGCTCTTGTGCATTTCAAAGCGGAAGCACCACATAGAGCCTGGGGCTGGCAGAGGACTCGGATATTTCTTCAGCAAATGATGGGCCCTTTGAAAAATTAAATTATCACTAATGCACATTTAGCTATAACATGACAATTAGGGATGTTAAAATTAGATTAATCAACTAATCAAATAGTTTGATTAGTGGCTAAGGGCACCTCCACTATGAAATATAGCAAGAGCCTGCCATTTCAAAGCTGGAAGTGCAGGGGCTCTTGTGCATTTCAAAGCGGAAGCACTGGGGCCTTTGTGTTTCACCTGGAGCAGGAGACTGAGTCCCCCACTGGCCCCGAGCTCCATGCGGTGCTTCTGCTTTGAAATGGCATCCCTTGGGCTCCATGTTTTAATTTTTTTTAATCTTTGAAGTGCAGGGGCTCTTGTACATTTCAAAGAGGAAGCGCCGCATGGAGCCCGGGGTCAGTGGGGGCTCCCTGCTGGCTCTGGGCTCCACGCAGCACAAGAGCCCCAATACATTTCAAAGAGGAAGCGCCGCCTGGCACTTCTGCCTTTGAAATGTAGCAACAGCTGTGCGGGCTCTTTCAAAGTGGGAACACCCTTATCGACTAATCAAATAGTTGATGGAAATTCTGTGGTATGGCTAAATGTGAATTTGTCATAATTTAATTCTTCAAAGGGCCCATCATTTGCTTCAGAAATATGCGGGGATGCTAAATGCCTATTTAGAAAATATGCCCTTCTCTGTGCTCTATTGCTAAGAAATAAAGCAAACAAATAAACAAAATAAACCTAGCTACTGTTTTTAAAATCTAGCCAAAACAATGTGGTCCTTCTTATGTTTATGCTTATGCACCAGCAGCAACCTTGAATATACCTTGAGGAATATATTAGTCTATTGATTTACTAAGCAGACACCCTATTAATTTCTTTGCAACATTTTCTTTAGAAATCCATGACAGATTAAGGCACACAATATTTAGGGAATAACCAGAGTAATGTCTCACTAGAGCAGAGTGGAGAAAAGTATTTAGTTTCATGAGGGATTTTGTGCCTTTGAAAACTAGTTTCATTCTGATTTGCAACAACCTCCCGCCCCCCCCAAAAAAATTTTTCTTCACAAAAGGGAGTCTTTGACTGAGTCAGTGTGCCTGGTGACTTGCCTTAGGGCTACAGACCCTGAAAGCCCTGAGGTACCTTACCTTCAGTATATTGGAACCCCGTCTGGTTTTTAAGAGAACTTCATCAAAATCAAACTGTCTCTCTGGGACATTTTGATTTCAACAAATCAGCAAATGGATATGGAAAAACATTTTAGTCAATATTTTTCTTATAACCTTTACTTTTCATGTCACTCAGATGATGCTGATACTAGAAGAGTTGGAAAGTACATTTAAAAAGCATGAAATCTTGGAACCAAGATTAAGACTTGTATTTACAAAGCAGGAAAAAATGAACTGTTATATTTAAGGTTTCAGTGAAATATTGAAAAATGTGATGGGTGTGTATTAATGTTCATTATTCGTTCTCTTAAAACACTTTGTCTTCTGTTAGAATATAAAACTGCAGTTGATTGCAGCTTCATATGATGCAGAGGGAAACTTTCTTAAATGGCAAAATTTGGAAGGAGGTGTCTTGCAGGTAAGTGTTTTTTAATTATGTTGTTTCTGCACTCTCAAAATATTGGTTGCCTTTTAGGGTATGGCTAGACTGAAAAGATCTCCACATTTTGCATATCTTTTTCTGATACTTTTGTCAGAAGAGGCTTTTCCGAAATTTGACCCGTCTAGACTCGCAACTAATCAACTAGTTGACTATCTGAAAAGCAAAAGTTTATCAGATAGTCAGCACAAGCCTAGTTGCTTCCCGCCTCTCCCTCTTGCCCCCCGCTGCCTCTATCAGAAGGAGGAATCAAGTGGGGGGGAAAAAGAGAGGATGTTGCGGGGAAGGCAGCTTAAAAGCTGGTTCCTGCTGGGGCTCTTGTGCATTTCAAAGCGGAAGCACCACATAGAGCCTGGGGCTGGCAGAGGACTCGGATATTTCTTCAGCAAATGATGGGCCCTTTGAAAAATTAAATTATCACTAATGCACATTTAGCTATAACATGACAATTAGGGATGTTAAAATTAGATTAATCAACTAATCAAATAGTTTGATTAGTGGCTAAGGGCACCTCCACTATGAAATATAGCAAGAGCCTGCCATTTCAAAGCTGGAAGTGCAGGGGCTCTTGTGCATTTCAAAGCGGAAGCACTGGGGCCTTTGTGTTTCACCTGGAGCAGGAGACTGAGTCCCCCACTGGCCCCGAGCTCCATGCGGTGCTTCTGCTTTGAAATGGCATCCCTTGGGCTCCATGTTTTAATTTTTTTTAATCTTTGAAGTGCAGGGGCTCTTGTACATTTCAAAGAGGAAGCGCCGCATGGAGCCCGGGGTCAGTGGGGGCTCCCTGCTGGCTCTGGGCTCCACGCAGCACAAGAGCCCCAATACATTTCAAAGAGGAAGCGCCGCCTGGCACTTCTGCCTTTGAAATGTAGCAACAGCTGTGCGGGCTCTTTCAAAGTGGGAACACCCTTATCGACTAATCAAATAGTTGATGGAAATTCTGTGGTATGGCTAAATGTGAATTTGTCATAATTTAATTCTTCAAAGGGCCCATCATTTGCTTCAGAAATATGCGGGGATGCTAAATGCCTATTTAGAAAATATGCCCTTCTCTGTGCTCTATTGCTAAGAAATAAAGCAAACAAATAAACAAAATAAACCTAGCTACTGTTTTTAAAATCTAGCCAAAACAATGTGGTCCTTCTTATGTTTATGCTTATGCACCAGCAGCAACCTTGAATATACCTTGAGGAATATATTAGTCTATTGATTTACTAAGCAGACACCCTATTAATTTCTTTGCAACATTTTCTTTAGAAATCCATGACAGATTAAGGCACACAATATTTAGGGAATAACCAGAGTAATGTCTCACTAGAGCAGAGTGGAGAAAAGTATTTAGTTTCATGAGGGATTTTGTGCCTTTGAAAACTAGTTTCATTCTGATTTGCAACAACCTCCCGCCCCCCCCAAAAAAATTTTTCTTCACAAAAGGGAGTCTTTGACTGAGTCAGTGTGCCTGGTGACTTGCCTTAGGGCTACAGACCCTGAAAGCCCTGAGGTACCTTACCTTCAGTATATTGGAACCCCGTCTGGTTTTTAAGAGAACTTCATCAAAATCAAACTGTCTCTCTGGGACATTTTGATTTCAACAAATCAGCAAATGGATATGGAAAAACATTTTAGTCAATATTTTTCTTATAACCTTTACTTTTCATGTCACTCAGATGATGCTGATACTAGAAGAGTTGGAAAGTACATTTAAAAAGCATGAAATCTTGGAACCAAGATTAAGACTTGTATTTACAAAGCAGGAAAAAATGAACTGTTATATTTAAGGTTTCAGTGAAATATTGAAAAATGTGATGGGTGTGTATTAATGTTCATTATTCGTTCTCTTAAAACACTTTGTCTTCTGTTAGAATATAAAACTGCAGTTGATTGCAGCTTCATATGATGCAGAGGGAAACTTTCTTAAAAGAGTGTGAAGAGCAAATGCATTTTCAAAATTCCCCCCTCCCTCCCGACAGTCTAGACGTATCCAAAGAGAAGAGACCACCATGAAGAAAAGCACAAAATACATTGCCTGAGTGTTCAGATAACTACAGCGTCTTCAGGGCAACCTTATTTTGACCAGGGAATTGACTATTTAATAAAAATAACCTTTTTAGTGTGTTTCTGTTCAAGGTGGCCTCTTTATATTTCCACTTGTGGGATGTAAGAACACCTCTCCCATTTCCACCAGTGTTAACTCCTGAGCACCTAGAAGCTTTCTAGAAATCTCAGCCTGTTGGTGTCTCATGGCATCAGTCACTCAGAGCCAAGGACCCAGTCCATGTGATTTCCTTCCCTTCCACAGGCAGCTTTGTGTGTGGCCCATGATTCCTTCTCTTCCATTTGCAGTTGGTATAAACAGTGAATGGTTGGGCTCTCTGCCCACTCTTCCAGACTCTAGGGAGTCTGGCTCTGTTGGATCCTATCACCGGGAAGGCACGTTAGTAGGGCCTTAGTGCTGAGTTGTCGTAGAATGAGCTGGTAGGCTCCTGAGGCTAGCAGTTGGAGAATCTCAAATTCTGTGGTCACTGTAGAAGATTGAGTGAGTTGCAGGTTTCAATATCATCATCATCATCTTCACCGAATTTCCTCAGGATAAGACTCCCCTACATTTATATCAAATATGGAATCTGAGTTTCTTCCAAATCAGATCACTGAACTCCAAAGCTCGTCTAATGCCCATGGGAAACTAAACGCTCTATCCTAGTGCTAAGAAGACTTTGAGGTTTTTATTTGGATAAGACTACTGTTTATTTTTCTAAATACTAACAAATAAATATATAACAAGCGTAGAATTAAGGCAGTATCCATAGTATGTCTGTAATGATTCCTGGAGTTCTAGTCATACATGAACACTAGGAATGTAAAGAATAGTCAATTAGTCGACTACCTGATAAGCCTAGGCTTATTGGGGAGTCTAGTTAACTACATGCATTTCCCCCAATCCCTTGCTGCCTAATAGAGGCAGCAAGGTGGAGGGGGGGGAAGCAGGAGCCAGTGCTGGAGGGAGCCGGCTTAAAAGCCGGTTCTCCCCAGCATTGTCTCCACTGTGTGAGGAGGAGAGGGATGGAGGGGCAGAAGCACAGTGGTCCAGGACCCAGCGCGAACTGGGACTGCGCCGTCCTGGCTCGTGCCAGGTCCCAGATCTACCCCGCTGCGGCTGTGCAGAGTGCCTCCCCTTATCAGCTAATCGATTAGTTGATACAAATTGTATCGACTACATGATTCACCAAATAGCCAGTCCTTAACATCCTTAATTTCTATTCTCTCAGTTTGATTCTTACTTTGGCAAGATAGTCCTGCAGACCTCATTTAATCAGAGATCAAATAATCATCCTGAGAATTGCTTTTTTGGTACATTCCCAGAAATAAGAAAAATGAGGCGGCCACACTGAAGGAAAAATAATTGTTTCTTGCCATGGTAATTCTGGTGCTTTGAGAGTGTCATTTCTGCATATTCATACAGTCCACTCACCTTCCTGTCTCCCTTAGAGTTCTTTTCTTATAGGACTCTGGGATTTAGCAGCAGAAACTGATATAATGAGGCCACATAGTTTCTGTAATCCCGTGAAAGGATGTTCATGCAGCCCTGTTGGACATTGCTTTCCACAAGGTTGAGAGATTTGGTGGTGGAGCAAAGAGCATCCCACAAGTGGGAATAAGCAGAGACAGTACTCAGAGTACCATGGTAAATAATTTGTTTTATTCGGAAATTAGAATTTAAAGTAAGTATCACTTTAAGCTAAATAAATTCTAGTTAGAACTGCAGGTGTGTAACCTATGTAGGTTTCTGTGTATTCTACAAGTTGAGAAAGTTGTGCTTTTGAATTAATGTACACAAAAATGTGAAACTTCATTATGGTTTTTGTTTGTTTGTGCAGCTTTGTCCTGACACACTGACTAGACTGAATGCTGTTTATATTTTTGGAACAACTTATCAACAAAGTGTAAGCATGGACTAAAATTTTATTATGGAGCTTTTAGTTGCGTCATTTTTCAATCTTGTCAGTGAAAAGTATATGTGTGAAAATAAATAAGTAAGTTGGGCCATGAGTTGTGCCATTTGGCTCTTGTGAATCTGTTGTTTATTCTACCTTTTAGCATACTGAGTGAAATGAGTTTATTTCTTAAGTCTTAGATATCAGTCACATCACAAAACAATACATCATTACAACCAGGGAAGTCTGGTGAAACAAGTATGAGATTTGGAACAATGAAGGATTTTTTTTTCTTTAAAGCTCAGCTCTACTTTGACTCACTGTTAATAAATAGACTTGAATATGAACAGCTGTGCTGGGTCAGACCAAAGGTCCATCTTAACCCAGTATCCTGTCTGCAGACAGTGGCCAGTCCCAGATACTTCAGAAGGAATGAACAGAACAGTAATCATCAAGTGATTCATCCTCTGTCACTCATTCTCAGCTTCTGGCAAACAGAGGCTAGGAACACCATCCCTACCCTTCCTTACTAATAGCCATTGATGGACCTATCCTCCATGAAAGTATCTAGTTCTTTCCCATCTTTAACTTGTCTCATTCTTCCTTTTTTATAAAATGAAGATAAAAATTACTTCATGGTGTTTTTTTGTTTGTCTACACAACAGCTGGAACTGTGCTTCCTGGTGTAGTAGACAGACATACTCTATCTTAACCCAAGTCAGCACACTAAAAATAGTACTGTAGCCAGTGGTAGCACAGGCATCTGCTCAGGCTAACTGCCCTTGTACATACACTTAGGGTACAAAGGCAGATTTTTACTCGTGCGGCTAGTTTGAGCTGACATCTGCATCACCCCTACTTATACTGCTACATCATTGACATACCCTTAGATATAGATTCAATAGCTGAAACTGTGTTATAAAAGATGTATCCACATCTAATTAGTACTTTACATGTTAAGCTGAATTCAAAACTATTAAGCGATTAAAAAAGGCTCAAGTTCTATGATAGAATAAAAAAAGTTAAATGCCACAATATTTGTTTCACATGTTTCTCTAAGATTATAGAGAAAAAAGTCTGTTTAAGAAATGTTAAGTGATCATTTACTTTAAAAACTGTATTTTAATTCCTATACAAAAAGAAGAAACGTTTCCCCTTTAAATTTGGCATTTTGAGATCTGAGAGCTTATTCCTGCAGCATTATTGTGTTAATAGCTAGATGTTTATTTTCTGTGTTTGAAGTATATTCACATGCAGAGAGTGCAAAATTGGTTGTATAAAATCCATAATTTTTAACTAACTTAATTGCTGGAATGTCTTGTCACATTCTCTTTGTAAGAGGTAGAATTCTTAATTTGCTTGGGAAAGAAATTCATAACTTCAAAATAAAAGTTCTCTTTTGTCATTAATTATTTCATTACATATTCTTATCAAATTTTTTCTATAGTGTACAATTTCTGTGTCCAAGATGTTAATGGATTTTGCTAATCCAATATTTTATGATGTGTATCTTGAATACCACGATGATAATAGTGGACAACAGTATCTGTGGGCTGTGCCAATTTTAAACTTAAATCTTCAATACAATGAAATGTCTGTGAATCAAGGTAGGAATATTATACTGCCTACATTTTCTGTGAATTGAATTAGGTTATATACCATTGGTAGAATGTAAATAAACATGGGTATACTAATAGTTTTATTGCTCCTAAAGAAAACTCGCTCATCCATTTTAAAGATATCAGTTTACCACAATTCTAAGAATTCCTTTGTGTATTAGGGATTTTGGAGCCAAAACCTGACCCATTTTCTGTGCAGGAGTAAGAGGCTTTGGCTACATATGCTTGATCTACACTGGCTGACAGGTATTCTGTGCAAATAATGCAGTGCATAAAGGCTCATGGAGGATCTTTGGAGTTTGAAAAGTGAAGAAAGAACTGGCAGGTTGATCAGATCTGGGGCGAGAGGCTCCCTCCCCCCTGACATACAAGTGGATTTTCATTTTACTTTTTTGGAGGGGAGAGGAATAGATGAAGTATTGTCATTTGCAGGGATCCATCATCCCTTCTTCTAAATAGGTGGTAGTGGCATAGGAAGAGTGTGAGCAGATTCAGTCCTGAAGTGACAGCAGAGCAATAGGAACAGTGGTCCAATTCTCATAGATCACTAGCAAAGAATTAGAAAGGATTATTCCCCACTTCCTCCCTTACCATTAGTTACAAAGTTCCTCAGTACACTGCCTGATTACTTAAGATCCACACTGAATATGAGTTGGTCCCTAATATAGCTATCCAGATGAATAAGCATGCATTTGTTTAAAAGTATGATCACCTGTACTTGAGAGACTATATATACAGGTATCTTGCATAGCACATTAACATCCCATGGAAATTAATAATACAAAATACCATGTGGAAGAAAGAAGGTTGCATACATTTGTGTACGGGAGGCAAATTTTTTGAGCATGTAAAATATGAACCATAAAGTATACACAAACTAAGGTTGTTTTTAATTTAATACATGAAAAGTTTGTATTACTGAAAGTGTAGGTATTCCATTGCCTCTTTTATTCAAGCACAATAATACCATTCATTTACCATGTTGCTTGAATAATGCATGTGATAATAAATTTTCATCAGACCCCCAATGGCCTATTAAAACAGTGCTGTTCTGCTCTGGAAGCACAAAGGAGACTTTTAAAGCTAATTTAACCAGCTACCTGGGGATTCCCTCCACCAAATGAAAGTGTGGCTATGGATCCGCTACCTCTGCCTGATCCCCAGCTGAGGTTTTCAGTCTTGTGCCAAGGATTAGAGCTGGTGTCTGCTGGCCCCAGATTTAATGCCAACTTTGCACTTGTGTCCCCCTTCCTAGATATACCTGAACTGCAGAAGATTAGAGCACAGCCAATTGAGTGAACTTAGGCCATTATATAAAGTATCTGTTTCAATCATAGATCATTCTTCTTCGAGGAGTCCCCGTGGGTGCTCCACAGAAGGTGCTGGGCTTGCCCCAGCGCTGCAGGACGGAGACTTTTCGCAGCAGTAGTCCGGCCGGACTGTGCATGCGTGGGGAACGTCTCGTGGCTTTCGCGCCCTTTCGCGCTGCTCTGTCTGGTCTGAGCCAGTTCCTCTCAACCACCTCAGGCTGCAGACAGAGCAATCCTCTTCTCCTGACTATCTTCGCATGAGACTTTTTCAGGCTTGTCTTGCCTCAATATTAGTTTCTTTTCCCCCTTTCCCAGTTCAGACTTGTTATATCCTCCTGTTTAAAAAAAAAAAATTTCCTTTGTTCATAGTTAAACGTTCTGGTTCCACTTACAGTTATATGATTGTTCTTACCTTGTTATAAGGTTCAGTTTTCTCTTCTTGTTACTACAAATCAATTTTTTTTTAAAAAGAAAAAAGTATTCAGAGGAAGGGGTGAAAAGGAGATTGGGGTTAAAACAATTGGATTTTCTCTTACTGGGATCGAGTGACGCAGTCCACAATGCCCGGCTCCCTGGGATTCAAAAAATGCGATCAATGCAGAGGCGCCATACTGGCTTCGGATGGTCATGCTTCATGCATCCGCTACCTTGGAGAGAGCCATGTCTTGCAGAAGTGCTCTCTGTTCTAAATTAACAAGCAGAGCAAGGCGTGAAAGAGAAATGAGGCTGAGAATGTTTCTCTTTGATAAAGCACTCCAGCCCCAGGGGTCTTCCTCCCCACCGTGGCCTTTACCATAGCCTCAGAAATGCCGGACCTCCTCTCTGACTTCTGCGCCTCCCAGAAAATCAAAACACTCTCTACCTGTTACTTCTAAGAGTAGATCGAGCGTCAGCACAAAGCCGAGTACCTCGGGCCTATCCAAAGCCTGACGGGCACCGACCAAGGCATCGAAAGTCGCACCATCAGTGCCAATGGCACGCCATCCGCCGGCACCGGCAGTTTCCGCACCGGCATCTTCAGCGCGCTGCACATCAGCGCCACTGGCTCTGCTGGCATCGACAACAGCTTCCAAGGCCACAGCCACCCCTCCTCGCCACTGCTCCAAATGAACATGCAGCACCGAAGCACTCAAAGGACCACATGCCGCCTACGGCACCACTCCCAGTGGCACCCCTCCAGACAGGGAACCTGTTCTGGCACCGAAAGAGCTGCAGCCTAGAAAAGCTACAGCAGACACCAAGACATAGGAGCCCATCTCCTCTCTCTCTCCTGCATTCTCTCCGGAACCCACCTCATCACCACCATTACAGTCTCCTATCAGAATGCCACCTAGGAGGTTCCCTTCCACAGAGTGTCTCCCATCTCCATTCTTAACACCTCCCACACACTATAAACATCACGGTCATCGAAGTCATTACCAAAGGTTCTCCGCCTCTCCTTCTCCAGTACGTCATGCTTCATATTCTCCACTGTTGTCGCATAGGTCACCTATTCAATCATACAGGAGGTCTTACAGCAGGTCTTGATACCACGACCACTCTCTATCTCGGTCCTCATATTATTATAGGGAACCGTATGACAGCCGCACATATTATAGGACCCACTCACCTCATCACTAAGCCTACTATCGATCCTCTAGATTGCCAACCAGATCAAGGACACGGGATTCCTCTTATAGGTACTCTACACCCGTGGGACCATCTCCCTCAGTGCATCTCCCTCTTTCACCGCCACTTCCTCCACCTCAAACTGAGGGGGAGCAGCATGCAGTCCAGGAACCACATCAGGCACAGGAGTCTCCCGAGGATCCTTTGTCATCCTCCCCCGATGAGGCACTGATACCAGGTGACATTTCGCCCCCAGACGATATTAAGCAGTTCCAAGACCTTTTTAAAAGAGTCGCCTTCTCCCAAAACATTCAACTCACCGAAATACAGAGTAAACATCACAAGCTCTTTAAGAATTTAGAGACATCACAACCTCCCAAACTAGCTTATCCCCCTGAATGAGGCCATTCTGGAGGTTGCGAATGAGCTCTGGCAGACACCGGCATCCGTACCCCCAACTAATAGGAAGGCCGATAAGAAATACTTTGTGCCTCCTAAGGGCTCAGAGCTCCTATTCACGCACCCACTCTCCAACTCCCTGGTAGTCGATGCCGCACTCTAGAGACCCCGGGTGCCACAATACAGGAACCAAAGCTCGGACAAGGAATCTAAGAAACTCGATTTATTTGGTAGGAAGGTGTATACCTCCGCAACCCTGCTTCTACGCATAGCTAATTATCTGGCTCACCTATCCAACCATAATTTCAATAATTATTCGAAATTTATTACTTTCGCCGACTCCTTGCCAGAATCAAAGAAGCCTATTCTCCGAGCATTGGTCCAGGAGGGAACGCCTCTACCAAATGAAATTAATGGGTAGCAGGTTTAAAACTAATAAAAGAAAGTTCTTCTTCACACAGCGTGTAGTCAACCTGTGGAACTCCTTGCCAGAGGAGGCTGTGAAGGCTAACACTATAAGGGTATGTCTACACTACAGAGTTAGTCCGAACTAATGGACGTTAGTTCGAACTAACTTTCATAGGCGCTACACTAAGTTTGTCAGAGGCTGGAGAGGAATGGCAGGAGACAAATCGCTTGATCATTGTCTTCGGTCCACCCTCTCTGGGACACCTGGTGCTGGCCACTGTCGGCAGACAGGATACTGGGCTAGAAGGACCTTTGGTCTGACCCAATACGGCCGTTCTTATGTTCTTATGTACCAGAACCAGCTTACAAATAGCAGCTGATGTGGCAGACACGGCAGCAGCAGTGGTCATGAGGAGGCCCTCATTCCTACAAGCTGCAGCAGTGCCTAAGGAGCTGCAAACAAAGGTCAAAGACCTGCTGTTCGAAAAAGACAACTTGTTTGCGGAGAAAACAGACACCCTATTACACTCTAGCAAAGACACCAGGTCCACCGTGCGGACCCTTGGTATGTATCTACCACCATTTAGAAGATGCCGTTACACACCATTCCAGAGGCGTTACAACTTTTACCATCAGAGGCAGCCATGGCAACAGCAGCAGCAACATTAAAGGCCATTTGATAACTCTCAGCAACGCCAACGACCTCCCAGACACCGTAACCAAAATAGCCATACGCAAACCCAACCGAACACCAGGCAGCAAGTTTGACTCCTTGGTCAAGAGCAATCCTCCAGTCACAACCGACACCATCCCATTGTTCCATCATCGTCTACACCCATTTTATCACCAATGGGAGGTTATCATCAACGCCAAATGGGTGCTAGAGATTATAAGAGCCTGCTATACCATACCCTTTCTCTCCCTACCATCCTCTACTTCCCCCCCCCCAACCTGTCCCTTTTCAGGGACCCCTCTCACGAAGATCTGCTCAGATCGGAGATAAATCATCTACTGCAGATCGGCGCAGTGGAACCAGTTCCACAAGAGTTCAGAGGGAAAGGGTTTTATTCCCACTACTTTCTCATTCAGAAAAAGACGGGGGGTTGGAGGCAGATCTCAGGCAGCTGAACAAATTCCTTCGAAAACACCGCTTCAGGATGGTCACGCTTTCATCTATAATCCCAGCTCTAGATCAGAACAACTGGTTTGTTGCTCTCGACCTTCAGGACGCATATTTTCATATTACAATTCACCCTGCCCACA